CAAGGATTTGTTGAAATGGTTGAACATGTTCGTAAATATCTTCACCAGAGATTTGAAAATAACGTATAAGAGGTAAACAATTTTTTAAAGTAGTTTTTAATGCTAAAATATTTTCATTCGACCAGTCTTCAGGATTGGAAGATAAACCAGGATTCTGTGCGATACCCCATTTGATAACATAATTCCAAATCTTAATTTCCTCCATTTGTAAATCGTCACGTTCAATCAACGAAATCAATGCATTTTCTTGAACTGATGCAAAATCTTCGGAGTCAAAAACTTTGCTCGGATGCTTTACTATAATATCGTTACACCATTTTTGTAACTTCAAAAGTTTACTGTTCTGGAAACTTTCTTGATAAATGCGAGTAAAATGTAGACGAAGCCAATGAGTATTTGATTCGATTAAAAGATTTTCAAGATATTTAGCTAACTCTTCAAGAATAAGTTCATGCGCAACAAGCATTAATTCAAAAATAAATGAAGCATCAAGATTTTCCAATAAAACTATTCCTCCATAAATATATCTTTATATTGAATTTTATTAAAGAATGTTAGTAATTTCACATACAGTACATTATAGTTGAAGTAATATATAACTTACTTGATAATAATTTCAAATTGTTGCATAGAAATATTTTTTAAATTAATTGTTTTAATATTATTTCTATCTTTACTTGCTGTTTTCAATTCATTACGAAAATACAATGATCGATGTTTTAAAATATTTGAATGTGCTTGAAATATTTTAGCATTTGGAGGTTCACCGATTTTGATAACTACATTAAAATCTTCTTGGTCTTCGAGAAGTTCAAGGTAATTGTTTGAAAGCTTTTCCAAAAATTTTGTTGCCATTTAATTTAAAAGTGTCTAAATAGATATGGCAAAAATCATTCATAAACAAAAATACCTAATCGCAAAAATCTCTCATCAGAAGCGCAAAAATACCTCATCTGCAGCAAAAATACCTCATACAATAATAGAAAAAAACAATTTATTTGTAATTTTGTACTACGTATGACTAGCAGTAATACAATATCGACGCTTATATAAATTTGTTCATCGATATGGAAATGATCACCAAAATTTTGGCCCACATTACATATAATTTTCGCTGGAATTATAAAAAATGGGTGGATGTATAAAGCAGAGTAGAATCTTATATCTTTATTGAACTAACTTAGGGTCACTTTAAGATTAGAATTAGATAGACCTATATAAGCAAACATGCCTTCCCAACATTTTTCATTTAACTGCTAAGGTACCGGTAGATGGTTTTCAAGTTTCATTTTTTTGTTTTGTCTGGTTTATCATGATTCATGATTAGGGTTGGAAAATTACCGTAATTTTACGTAATTTTACGTAAGTTTGTGTAAGTTTCTGAAATTAAAATTACATGTAATTTTTATCATATGAATAATTTGGGCCAAAATTTTTGTATAAATAAATAAATATAAAATTAAAGTTCTGAACACATTGATGGATATCTATTAATACCAGTAAAACTTTTGTAATGCTAGTGCAATTATCATGTGACAATGCGCTATATATTGTAAAGTTAAATTACAGTTTCGTAAGTTACAATGTTATTTCATGTAATGAAAAATGTAATGTTGTGTAATACAACCCTAATCATGATCCGATGTCAGTGATTTGCCCACTTTAGACAATAGAATATTGGTAAATAGGCCTGCTTTACTCTTAGCCAATCACACTTACGAATCCAGCTAGCGCTAGGTGTCCTAGAACTGATCTAGCATTATCAACCTAAAAAATTTCACTGGCCAATCAGATTTCAAGATCAGGTGTGACGTAGAAGAAACGAAAAAAATCAAACAAAACAAAAAATCGCTCATAACTCAACATTTTATCTATAAAACCACTTTCTGCGCACTAACAAAAAGTTTTCCTTGCGAATTTTTTGGTATCATTAAAGCTCTTTCTAACCTAGCTTATTAGCAGAACCTAACCCTAATCTAACAGCGAAATTTTTTTAGCGAAATTTTTTAGCTAGATCAGTAGTTGTTCAATAGCATGAAATGCACTGGATTTGTGGTGCCTGATTATGGTAAATCTGCCAAATCCCACAATCTGGATATGTGCTATCCCTATCTCGTCTCGACTCGGCAGTGTTCCAATTTTATTTTTATTTAAAAACAATATGGTCATATATAAAATTAAATTTTAACCACTTTTATTTAATCACCAAAATCAAGTTATTGACTGGAGCGAAGTGAAACTTTTTCAAGTCGTATTCTACGAAATTTTCGAAACATTTAGTTCTCCGCTCAATTGATTCTGATTTAGGTTCAGTATCCTAAAATTGTTTAAAATTAGATTCAATGTTTAGATACTGAAATTGTGGTTTAAATTACAATAACCGAACTTTTAATAAAATATTTTTAATAAAAGAATAGTTTATCTGTTAGAGAATAAGAAGTATCCTGTATCAAACATCATCATAAATGTCATCGTATCGTAAGCGAGCATATTATCGTGTTTGGTTTTTTTGTAGTTAAAATATAAAAACGCGTAAGAATTAATACACCGAACAATTTCTATAAAGAATGAAGCTACTGTAGAAGAAAACGAAAAGTTTAATGACTAAAGAATCAAGAATTAGAAAATTGAACAATGTTGATTTATATATGAGCTATGGAGAATGCCACCTTCATAAATTATCTACGGTAATTCTGATTAAAATAGGATTGAGAACTCATAAAAAAGACGAAGAATTTCAAGATATCGTTACCCATTACCTTCTTATCGTATATGATTATTCAGCACTGTTATTCTCAACTGTGTTAGGGATATAAAGATGTGTGAAACTCTTTATTTTCATATACAGATATACGTACATACGTTATTACGCATATATACGTTACGTAATTGCATATTACCGAAAAAACGAAATTTTTTTGTCATTTAACATCGTTATCGTCATCACGGAGAAGGGTATCTGCGGGTATCTGCGGGTATCTGCACAAAGATATCCTCCAACTCTGTTTTTAAAAATTTTGGGGACTTGTACATCACAAGATTAGTAAGAAAAATAAAATATAGTCGGCCTCCTTAAATGCATCCCCTCTAAGTGCATGACCTCATTAAATGCATATTAATTTTCTGGCCCAAATACTATACTCCCATAAATGCATTTTTTATTATTGTTCTCTAAATGCAAGCCCTCAAAAGTTTGGTCCCGATAATATGCATTTATGGAAATAAAAATAATTAAAATATCACGACACATTAGTAAAATACTTTTTAAGCAATATAAATATTATATCTGATATAGTGATAGCATTATACAGTACCAGGTACGTACGTACGTACGTACGTACTTCGAAGCAAATACTACTTTGAATGCAACAAATTGCTGCTTTAGATAGGGCTATTATAAATACAATGTCAATGCGTATTCACGTCCATATGTCAGTGAATTCTTTTTAAGAATTACAAACAATAAAGGTCCAAATTTTCGATTTTTAATTGCTCAAATGTTTATTTTATTGAATATATATTAAATATTCTATTAAATGTATAGGATAAGTCAGTAGAAACACACCAAATCTATTTTTGAAATTTGTTTAAATTTTTAAACAAAAATAGCTCTGCAAAAACTTTGTCAAATGTAGTATAAATTCTTTTTGAAATAAATTTTACAAGTTTATATAATTGATTTAAAAAGTTACGTTTGACAAGACTCAAAAATAAGGTTCAAAAAATTACGCTTGCCAAGACTCCCAAAATAATACTCAAAAAATTACAGTTGCCAAGACTATTAGACAATAACAATAACTAAGGTTGTCAAAAAAAAAAAAACAGATATACTATTTTCCAAACAAAAATGTAAGCAAGGCCGTCGAAAAAGAGCAAATTATGGTTATCAAGGCTTTCAAGACTGTCAAAAACTATTATATACATATATGTGCAAATTCGTCTGCCAAGACTAAGATAAACAAATAATATATACAAAATTGTTTGCCAAGACTTAAAAAAATATATACAAATTCGTTTGCCAAGATAAAAACATACATATATATACTGTATACATATATATATATATATATATATATGTATGCAAAATACACATGTCAACAATCATCAAAAAAAAATTTAAAAATATGTCTGTCAAAACTGTTAAAATTCGTTTGCCAAGACGGTAGTAAAAAAGTTTAAAAACTTGGCGCTATTTTTGTTTTTTTTTTGTTTTTATAAATATTGTCTATTGTGAAATCTTAAAAAGGAATTATTCCATACTTTTTTTCACGAATTTATTATCAAGGATATTTTTCTTGATTTCAATGTTTTATATTCAAAAAATGTTTACGATTAAGAACAAATAATACTTTCTTAGAAAATACTTTCTTGAATTCTTTATTAGTATTGAATAAGAACAAAATAATACTTTTTTTTAGAATTCTTTATGGATATTGAATAAATGGACATATGCTAACAGAAAGTGAATAGAAACGTACTAAATTAACATGTAAGCGAAAATGTAAGCGAAAAATTAAATTTAAAAATAACTAAAATGGTTTTAAAAATGCAATGAAAATTATTGTAAAATAAAGTTAATAATAATTTTTTCTAATGGCTAAAGAGTACGTACAATTTTCGAGCAAGATAGTAAACCAATTTTATATGTTTAAAGAAATATAAAAGAATAAAAATATTTCTTTAAAAATATAGGTTAAACAAATGAATTGAAAATAAAAAAAAATGCCATCCATTTTAAAATTTCCGATAGCACCTCTATGAATTAAACAACCGATCGAATTGATATTTAGTATATTTTACATTTGGAACACAATACTTTCCATTCATCAGGTGGGTTTAACTTTTTGATTTTATCTGGTAGCGCGACGAATTGTGAAACTAATCCTGATTCAACATGCCACTATGAATATATAAAATATGAATATATATATAAATATATGTTAGAATCAAAATCTAAGAAACAGATTTGTAATAAAAATATAAAACAATTTAGAGGAAAATTATGAAATTACCTCAATGTGACAGTGGAATCCCCATACACCAGGATTATCTGCTACAAATCGGAGAATGGTCCATCTGATAATAAAATTAAATTATTATATTTTTGTATTTTTGTTGTATTGATTAAATTTATATTCATAAATCAACTACAGTATACAGAAAGAACGAAAAGTTAAACATACCCGCCAGCAGGAATAGTTGTAGTATCACGTTCTATCGGGTCAATGGTATTTAGACTGTTATAATCTGGAGTAGTTCCATTTCCACCGGTACCAAGTACCCAGAATACGTGACCGTGCTAATTAATATAAATTTCAGAAATTACAGAATTAGAGAAATTGGTTAACTACTAATTAATAATAATATTATTTATTTATTCTTCTGTATTGTCGCAAAATAACGGACATATTTAGGCCGAAATTTGTTGTGCGTTATTTCGCGACAATACGGTACTTGTAATTATTAATAAGAATACATACCAAATGGAAGGGATGTTCACCCTGGTCCATGTCTAATTAATTAATTAATTAATTAATTAATAAATTAATTATTTATGTATATGTAAACTAATACAGTAAAGATAAATTTAATAATAAAAGATTCATACTTATTAAAATAATATCGATAATTTCCTTTTTTTCAATTGTGAAAGCAACTTGATCAGCAGCAAATTCTGTTTTACCATCATAAACTTTATTAATAGTAGGATATTTCATATCAATTTTATAAGTAGCATTATTTATGAATCCTCTGGTAACATTTGCTTCATCAGGTTTGAATTCAACAACCATTTCAATTTTACGAGTACAATCAGGGATTTTTTTAGGTTTATAAGGTTTTAAATCTTTAGTATCCAAATCTACACATTCCTCAACTTTGTCAGTCCAAGCAGTAGTAGAAGGCCATTTTTCATCATCACAATCCTCATAAGAAACAACAGCTTTTATTAAAGGATCGAGATTATCAGGTTGTTTTGGGAAACAACCGATTTCCATTTCCGAACGCATCCAATATTTTTTTTTAGGTTTATCAGCAGTCACTATAACCGAATAACGTTGAGCTACGTTAATAGGGAGGCGATGGACAGTATGACGTTTGGTTATCGTTCCTTCAACTTCAATTACATCCAAAGGATGCTCATCGATTGAGAAAATAAAAGCGGAAAAGGCACTAAATTATTGACAAAATATAAAGTACATATATATGAATATATGTATTTTGTAAATAAATATATAATATATAATATATAATATATAATATATATATATATATATATATATATATATACAATAATAATAAATTATAAAAATGACGAAAAAATTACCTGGTATTAATAATTCTAATTCTATATTTTTTTCCATGAACGAATTTGAACTGTGCCAATGGAGCACCATCAACGCAATCACTACCTTTTGGAGCCCAAGAACAATTATAATGATTTTTTCCATTAATCAATCCATTATCTGGAGAAGGTTCATTTCCTTCACTTTCAGGAGATAAGAAAGTAGCTAATAATTTTTTGGAATCATCATGATACCAATCTTGTAATAATACGATAATTTCTTCATCATATTCTTTACGGTAAGGATCATTAGGTTCATGAACTATAAGGGGACCGACAAGACCTTCAATATATTGAGCTCTTGAGTGAGAATGGCTATAAAAAAAAAAAAAAAAAAAAACATAAAAATCACAAAAATCACGTGTAAGCATATATTTTTAGCAGTAATAGATTATATACTTACTACCAATAGGTTCCACTTTGACAAACTTTATATTTATAAGTGAAAGTTTCATTAGGTGGAATACCACATTGAGATTGACCAGGAACACCATCAAACCAAGGAGTACCGCGTTGAAAGATTCCATGAGAATGAATAGAAGTATCTTCACATAATTCATTTTTAACATTGAGAACTATGGTATCTTCTCTATCAGCTTCAATAAGAGGACCAGGGAATTGGCCATTTATGAGAAATATATCGCGTTTAAAGCCATCAGGAGAACAAGGGCCTTTAGTAATAGTAAGATTATAAACTCTTTCTTTGCCTTCGTTAGTTCTTTTGTCAAGGGTTGGGGAAGATAGAGATTGATTCGGAAGTAATAAAAGTAAGGTCAAAATATAGACCAGCGCCAAAATTCTTTGGGAAACCATTTTTTTTTATGATCAAAATTAATGATCAAGATGTAGGAGACAAAACGACCGAATGAATTAATGATATATTGATCAAGAAGTAGGAGATAAAAAGACAGAATGAATTAATGAGGTATATATATATAAAAGAAATGGCTATAACTTACTGGCAAGAGTAAATTCACCTGTCACAAGTAAATAATGATTTATAAAGCCATCTTTGTCTTGCATTAACAAGTAGGGAGATGCACCAAGACATTTACCGAATTATGTTTACGGTACAAATGCAACGTTAACAAGTGTATGTGTATGTTCGTATGTACATGCGTATTTGTGTTAATGGTAATAAATATAACAAA